AAAAATTTAATTTCGCACAAATTAATATTTTAATTAGTATTATAATTATTTGCCTAATGGTAATATATTAAATTCAAATCTTACCTTAGCTGCGACGGAGGAATAAGGTTCATCGAAAAGTGACCACATCTGAGGTTTGAGCTTCTGCCACCACGTGAGACTTCCCTCGTAGTATGCTTCCTCAAAACCGAATTTCCTGGCCAGTTCCTCCTCGGTGGGCCTCTCGGTGTCGAGGTCCAACCTGTCGAGGACCGTCAGCGTTTCCTGCGTATCCCGGTGCTGCAAGGGCGTCGAGGCGAAGGGGATGGGAAGAGAGACAGATGCAACAACGATTGTTATTCGTACCTGCGAAACTCTTTCTCGAGTGTGCTTTCTTTCGTGCTTTGCCTTGGGACAGATAAAGCGCGCGTGAAAAGCATACGCGAGCCGTTGTGTGCTTCCTCGCGTGAGTGATAAAGATATTTGCTCGGCTTTGATCAGCCTTACCGGCGGATTTATCCGATATTGCACATACGCTTACTTGAGTCTATCCCACATCGCTCTATCCAAACTAGTTCTCAGATTCTATTTGCTAACAGTATCCTCTTAGACCATGTACTATTGGATCACGAATTACCTCATTTTTTATCAAACTCTAAGATGATAACAGAAAAAAATGCATAGAAAAAGATGGGTTCTTTCATTAATACTTAATATTTACCTATCTTTTGTTTTTTATTAGTTATTTATCATTTTCATCTTAGAAATATTATCAAACAAATGAACAAAGCTCTAATATAGAGCTTATGGCCTCCTATTGAAATTAATTCATGTATAAAATATATCATGTAAGATGTCTCACACTTTTTACTAAGCAGATTCTAGAAATAAATTAAAATTAATTGCCATTAAAAAATAAAAAAGTAATAACTAAAGGCACTTTGGTGAAAGATATTAATATCATGCATTAAAATCTGGCACATTTGTGAGCATGATAATAAAAGACGTACAGTACTTTCAGACAATATGATAAATCACTGACAAACTTCTCCATTTGATATATTATTTCGAGTCAAAGAAATTATATTATATCTACATATAAGCCTATTTCTATTCGTCATTTTAATCTGTTAAATATGTTGGAAAAGTTTACCGCCTATCTGCTTAGCTTTGTGTATCCTGTTTACTTTAATCTCTACATCTATATACCGTACTGTACATCACATAATAAATTTACGCGTCTGTTTCGCTGATTTTGCGTGCAGCCACGCTTAGGCGTGATTAGACACGTGCACGACAATCAGACGTTATTCACGATATACCTGCGTATAGGTCATCCAACAGCAAGGCTCGACTTGATTCGAGTCAAGACCCCAGAAATCGAGTTCTTCCTCAAAAAGCGGGCCGCATACATCCGTGGGGTAGTGCAGCTTCCCGGTGCGATAGTAGTTGAGTACCTGGGCGAAGACACCCGGGTGTCTGTCAAAGAAGTACTCGTTGAGGATCGGGTCATAATTGGCGAGAGCCTCGGTCAGTCTCGAGAGCCTCGTCGCCGGGATCTTCTTCAGGGTTGCCTTGTACGTCTCGTGCCGGATTCCGCCCACGTTCAGAACCACGCGGTTCTCCGCGTCCATATTTATCAAGTTCATTTTGATCACGGCTCTGCTACCGCCGGCCCCGACTTAAAGAAACCCATGCGATCTGCAAACAATTAGCGCTTCCATCGCGTCATCTAAAATTAGATGGAAAACCGTCGTTTCCCCATCGCGTAAACCTTATATTGATTTTATCCGATTAACCTTCCTAAAGCTCAATCAAGGTTGATACAATTTATATCTTTGTAAACTGAAAATTAACTTATTTGAGTAGAAATTAACTTTGAACCGATCGATCTTAATTTAAATCTTACGTGAATCATGTAATATAATTTGTAACATAAAAACGTGAACATTTAATAAAAGAGTTTTATTTATTAAGCGCAAACTATCCGCGTTTCTGTTTTATTGAAATGCAAATAATTCATTAATATTTTACACGAATTTATGCAATAAATCCGACCGTGCAGCTTAGTTTCAAATGTAAAACGTACAATTTATGATCTTATTCCGTCATGTTAAAATATCACATTCATTCATGTGTGCGAATAGTGCCTAAAAGGATCAAGCGAAGCATTTCTACGCGTAATGATTTTATCGTAATATATCATCCCGGTTTTACTGACCGATTGCTTTGCTCCATATAATCTCATTTGAATTATACGACGTAGCCGATGGAAAATGTCACAATAGTGTCATTGCTACTTCAAATCCTACGTTTCAAAGACTGACGCAAAACGGAATGTGAGAGCTACTCTCTATTTAACATTACTGTCATGATAATTATGACATTTAACATTTCATTAAAAATTTCTACATTTAGGAATATGCTTTACAAATACCAGCGTTAGAATTGCTCCGGTTCTTTAAGTCCCGTATCTCTGGAAGGAATGTATTCATTCAACTTTTTCATTTCACTGTGTTCACGATACAGCGCTGTGAGAAAAATAATTCTTGCCAAGGACATAGTATGTTAAAGCAACCGTTATGGAACAAAAAAAAATTACGCAGTTACGATTAAAATATACGAGATCAAATAAAATATCACAAAGAATTATAAAAGAATTAAAAAAATTTTTAATACAAATTGTTAAAACATTTAAATACTTCACGTATCATAATCACTTCTTACTCATGTGAAATATGTTCGCGTTTATCAGATTACCGGACCAATTACTTTTTGTTAAGTTTGTACGTTATTTATATGTAGAGCGTCTCTCGGCCAGAACATTTTTAAGTAACCTTCCCTTGACATCAATACATCTGCATACCAATTATGTGTACCTCTGCATCGAACTCGCCGAACATGTAATAATATTTCAGTTTAACAAAATTGTTTTCATTTCTAAATCCAATCTGAGAGGAAAAGTAAACATTATTTTTACATCATTCTCTAGCGCATAATTAAAAAAAAACAATGCGTTAGTTAATAATTGTCAATTAAGGACAAATTTTTAGATTTTATAACAACCAAAATTATATTTTAATTATAAAGCGAAGTTTTAAACATGTTATTAAAAATGAACTATATTAAAGGAAGAATTATTATTTATAGAGGAAGAAATTAATAAAATTATATTAGAATCCCCACCCCCCCCCTTTTCTCTCAATTTAAGCAGCGTATTCCTTTTGATATACATTTAGATTCCGCGGCGATCCAAAATAGTCAAGTTTGAAAAGCGTTCACGAAGTGATCCGTATTCTACCCGTATAATCTTTTATATCGCGTAAAAAAAGCAGAACTGTATAAAGAAGGCATCGCGTGAAATCAAAGGGACAGGTGTATCGGTTTTTCAATCCCGTTGTCGCTTTGTATGCCGACTGTGCAACGGTTATAAAGGGTAACAATGTGGCTCGTGACTGTCCCTGACGAGAGTCGAGCTGTCCGATTATCAAATCACGCGCTCGGGATGCGTCACGTTAAGTGAATCACCTGCCAGATACAAAGATACACGTCGGACTCCGGTATGCCATTATCAAGTGATGCCGAGGTCGACGTGCCTGAGTCCTCGAATTAACGCGCATGGACGCAATTTCTAAATCAACTCTGATCGCCAACCACCGGCAGATAGCGGTGACGGTGGCGGTCGCAGCGGGAAACGTCTAGCAACGTCGAAATCCGATCGAATCTTCGAGGTCGGGCCGTCGGGGCGCATTCCCGTGACGTCATCTGTACATATTTTCGCACGTGCACGAGCGAGAGCGGCATTTCGGATGATCGACCGTGAGATGAACTCGAGGGCGCGTTTTTCCCTTTTTACGCAGGCGAGCCTAACGAAGCGTTTGTCCATGTATTCGAGCTACAAATTAGCGTCAGGAAGGATGATGACGGTGACGGTGGCGGTGGCGGCGTCAGGCGGCGTCGGCCAGCCCCTTGTCGCGCGAGAATCGATAGTCTGCGTGCACGAAAGGCCGATATTGCGCCCTGTATGTTGCTCGACATTACCACCCGCGGCTCCGTTTTCGGTTTCCCTTCTGGCGAATTATACTTCAATGCGCGGGATGAGATATGCGGGATCTCATGAGTACCAACCGACTTGCGGTTATACTCGGTCACTCGATGAAATTGTCGAACAATCGTGCCGGTTGACGATGCTGCGACCGATCGAAAGAGAAACTGGCGATCCGAGAAATCAATGAGAAGACGTCAGATTGAACGAATGTTGGAAATACTGGAGTAGGTCAGATGGAATCGACTGGTTCAATGAGCGCCCAATAGTGACGTGATCGGATCGCGCCGAACAGGAGAATAACTTGCAACTCGCAGCAGGATGAACGCATTATCGGTTTAACAAGATAATTCACAAGGACTCAGTCCCTAAGAACTTAAATGCATTCTGAACACTCATGGGGTTGGTGCGTATTCATGTTTCCTTCCCCTTTCAAAGGAAGGGCATCCTAAAGGGATACCCTCGTGATCGACACGTTTCCACTCGGACACGCAAGGGTTTCTTTCCCTCGATTCCCTCGATGTCGAGATTCTCCTGAAATGTCTCCTCCTTGGAACTGACAAAATACCCACCCTCGGTCGCGCTCTCTTCATGTCTCGGAGATCTTCCGCGACATCTCGACGGCACTGCTCCGATTCCCCGTATTCTCCATGTCGCCGAGCTGCGACGATGGCGATGGTGCTCCGCGAAGGTATACCGTAGGTGACAGACGGTCTCGCACAATAGGCACTATGTTGTCCTGCGTGCTACGTCCTGCGTTCGCACGAGCACGAGTCCTCTCGCTCGACTCCTCTCGTACTCTCTCCCACCCTCAACTTTCTCTCTCTCTCTCTCTCTCTCTTTCTGTCTCTCCAGCGAAAGGTCAGGTCAGGCAGGGAACGCGCCGTGAAGGCAGAGGGCGTTTTCCCCGTCGCCGTGTTCGCGAATGGATCATCGGCGGAATGGTCGGGCCTTCATCATCGTGATGTCATCCAATGCCGTCATAGACGGCCTGTCATCATCGCCGGTTCGCGTCGTCCCCGTGACCGACCGACAAGCGGATGTGACGAGGACCTTCCTCGAGGATGGCTCGGCTGCGGCTCGTCGCGCGTACAGAACTGAAATCGCGAACGAAAAGCGACATCGTCTCCGACGAAGGACGGCAGCGGCGGCGTCGTCACCGAGGTGGGGGCTGGCGTCGCGACGGCGTGCGGAGGTTGAGCGCGCGCATCCGTTTCATACGCGTTATATCGCGACGAGATCACATCCAAGTGGCCCTCGAGTTCGACCGAGTTGGTGACCGAGGCGATGACTTAAAGTTATCTTCGTAGTTGTCAAGCTGGCCGTCTTCTAGGATTTCGCATTCGACAAATGCGTTCCCCGATCGTGATCATCTAAAAAAAAAATTCAAATGCTATTTACGATTTGCATCTTATAATAGTGCATTGCACAATATACGGACAAAATGTGAGTTATTCAAAGCGTTGAAATATTAAAATAATGTAAAAGTTTTGTATATATGTATAGTATTTTATGAAAAATTCGTGATTCTTTTTGATCTTAAACTTATTGATGACTATTGATGACTTTTTAACTATAGTGCTATTATTTCTTTGATGACGTTGCAACCTTTCTTCTTATTATTTAGTAATATAAATCGATATTTAATAAATCGATATTTAATGGAATATGTGATCGATAAATTAATTAAATAATGAAATGATTAATTAAAACTACAGAATTAAGAAGTAATAGCACAATATGATTTATAATATTTCACTTATTTAAAATTTCTTCAATGAAGAATAATAATATTCGAAAACAAAACTTTGTTAAAATAAAGAAAATAAAGAATTTTTTAAAATAATTTCCATATATTCTTGCACGAAAAATTGTCTTATCTTTATACAAAATATTTTTTTAATAATAATAAATGTCAATATTTAATTAATATCCGCAAATGTGAATAAAAGATTGGGTATCCAATAGATATTTCATTAAATATTCATTAAGCAGTGTGTGCGGTATAGATATATAAGTCTCCCATATATAAAATTAAAAAAAATCGATATTATTGGATTGCAGATACTATTAAAGTTTGCCTGTGAAATTCATGATTATCCTTTTATATCAATCCTCTTATATGATTTAATATGACGATTTAATATGTCTATTTGAAATTAACCGTCTGTTTTCCCAAGATCTTATGTTCGATTAAAATCGTGCGATTCAAAGTTCTCGCTTTACTTAATTCCAAATTTGATGAGAATTAAGTCGATTACATAGATATTCTCTTTTTAGGTCATGCGATTATCTTCTTCTGCCCTTTCGAATTAACTTTCTACCAAATTGCGATTTTTCGCTGTGAGACGATCAAAACCCATGGGAAAGATCGGAATTACCCCTGTCGTTCTATGCTTTTTATAGCTCATAAAACGTCTGTCTCATTGCTTCCTATTCTTCTTCTTTTCTTCTCTTCTGTTCCCTTTCTTTCCCTTTTTTCCATTTCTATTACACATCGCGCGATAAAAGTGTGTAAAAGGAAGACTATAGGTATCAATAGTAAGAATATATTGATTGATTTTCTTTAATTTATAATAAAAATGATCACATATTACTCACACATTTCATTAACTTAAGAACAAGCCACTTGTTTCTTACCTTTCTGTTCAAACTGTTCTAGAATAATAGAAAGTATTTGTCAATTCTCTTCATTTATTCCCATCGTTGTATCATAAATCAAGCGATACTGAGAAAATTAAAATCAGATATCTTTATTGTTTTATTATCTTTTTTTATAAATAAAATATTAAAATAAAATAAATATAAGTAAAGTATCTATATGAACCTTCACAGGTGTTTGTAAATTATATATTTATATGGCGATAAAATATAATTTGCAAGCAATTGGTATGTACTTATCAATCAATTACAAAATGAATTACAAAAGCAATTAATTTGCAATATATTCTAATTTTTTGCGAATTATATCTTATCGCCTTATAAATATTATGTACACACTAATCGCGGAAGCTCATATATGCAATTTATTTTAAATCCTAAAGAGAGAACTACACTACAAAACTGTTTTTTTTTAAATAAAACATGAAAAGTAATTGATATATTTCGCGGTTGCAAATATTGTATTACTTTTTAAAGTTTCGAGTTACAATTTCATAAAAAATACTCGAGGAAATAATCAATTCTACAGCAATGACGTATGTAAACTTTTGAAAAAAATATATGCAAAAATGTTTAAATTACATATTTTGTATATTTTGTGTTTTTTACATTTTATATATTAAATATTTATCACATTTATATTTATAGTCAAATAAATTCTTGAGGTGAATATTCAGAATCAATAAGAAACCTAAGTATCATCATTTTCTTGAAAAATCAACATTGTAAACAAAGTCGACAGAATATGGAAATTATATCATAAAGACCTTTAAATTAATATTAAAATTATATAGATTCCTATTTTTCTCTAATTAAAATATTCTCAAAAAATGTAAAACTTGTGTATAAAACATTATTCTTTTTTCTATCTTTACACACTTTGAAATTTATGTGAATTAATTTAACAAATAATAGTAAATGAACGATCATTAACTAACCAATGATAAACAGTCTTTTTGAAAAATCAGATTTGCCTGCCACAATGACTTATATTGACAAATTGTCGGAAAAGTAGAAAGATGTGTAAGTACTCGTTATGAAGTAAGAATACAATACTTGCGTATGTACACAAAGTGCCGCGTTTACGCGTCATGTCTCACGTGCGGGTTACAAGATATAGCTCGAGGTTGTGCTGAGTGGGTTGCTCTCGAGTGGGGTCGTCGCTACTCTCAAGCGAATTTCTCCACCGGTCGATGGCTTACGCTTGCGCGCTGTTGCCTCTTCAGTGGCAGCCTTACTCCCAAGTTGTATATCAAATTTATGTCGTGAAAACAACTCTGATACTTACCTATTAGCTGCGAGAGAAGAAGATTAATGTTCGATAACCTGAAGATAATACCGATCATATTCGAGACGTCATCCTCTTTTGTCCGTTTTGAACTTTCTCAAACTCGGTGTCGAAGTTTATAAACTTTTTTTCTGATATTTTCTTTATTAAGTGACTTCGACCAGACTCTGATTAATTTAATTAAATAGTTAAGTCGATCAGTGGAATCGTTTAAGGAAATATTTAAGATAGTTATCGTTGTTCTTAATCTTTTTTCGATAGATTAAACATAATTCTATTACATAATTATAATTTAGTAATTTTATTCATATTAAAGTGTTGATTAAATTAATTTTGTAGTTTGATCAAAATCACCTTAAAAAAATTAAGTTATTAAAGAATAAAAGAATTAATTGTTTAATAAATAAATTATATGGACAGATATATAATTATCCGGAATTGATAATTGATAAGATTTTATTTTCAAATGGAAGAAGATGATTTTGTTATTATTCTTTGATTATAAATTTTATACGGATATTTTTTTATTTCACATCTAATATATTTAACGAATAACTTATCACTTCTACGTAATTGAATAATAAAACGTTTCTATTTTCTTATTTTTTTATTAGATATTTTAATTGTTTTCTGGCATCATTACAAAAGTATTATAAATAGCTGTGCAAGCAGGTACAAGTGACATTGTTCTCAAATCCCCGAAGATGCATTTCAAATTGATTGGATATATTTCCATTTTGAGTGAGGCTTCTCTCTGTTTAATTTAATTTAAATATCTTGATCATAAGAAACGATAGATCAAATTATATGAATATGAAATGATATTTGCAAGTTATTTTATAGTTATATTTTAGAAATGATTTATGTATAACAAATATGTAATTCTCTCATCGGATTAATACCTGTAATCATAATGCATTTTTTCAATCAAGTGGTGATTGATCGAGATGTTAAGTTTTTTATTATTAATTTATTCAGAAATTAAACTCGATAGAAGTTGGTGATCCACTGTAGTGTCAACATACTTCTGATATAGCGACCTTTTTCATTTTGGAAAAAACGACATGTTTCAACATTTATCTTCAATTTTTATATAAAATTAATTTCGATTTTATCGTAATTGGATAGACAATATAATATGTGTGCGAATAAAACGTGTGGAAAAGTTGCTGACGATACCGGAATTAGAAGAGAGATGGTCAAGACACTGACGAGAACACAGTTTGTTGATAAACATGTTGGGAAAAGTTTTTGGTGTCATGTCGCCGTAATCTACAGTAGTTATCGTAAATAAGACTCATCATAAACCTCGCAGTGTACTGTCAGAATTTGTTGTTGGGAATTTCCTGCAGTGTTACAGCATGAAAAGCCAGGACATAGCTTTGATATCTCACAAATTTTGCGAGAATAATATATTTAATCCTTATTCTTAAAGATCAGAGACAACAATAGTCTAGTAAAAATTTTCTTAAATTTATTTAACTTTATCTTTAAAGCTAATATATATTTATATATTTATATAATTATACAGAAAGAAAAGTTGAAATCAAAACTAGATTTTAAAAGTTTTTTTTTTTTACAGAAAACTAAACTTTCAGCAGATTCTGCTGTAAAAGTTCTATTTCCGTTTTATTTAAACCGCACCTGGAACTGTGCCCTTAAAATATTTAGCTCTAGCTCTCTTAAAACCAAAAGTTGAAATGTACTTGCGAGCGTTCAACGTAGAACATGAACTGACAAAAAGTAGGATTCCTAATATGAGGAAGAAGATTAGTAAAGCCAACTCTTTGGCGGACGCCTTAAAGGTGTGGATATAAGGATTCCAAATCTGGACAAGTGCCTCGTCAACTTGAATAGAGCAAGCGCTATTGACAGGAATTCTAGATAAAAGTTTGGTTTTGTTAGACACTCTCTATAGAAGCTCATCGTTACTATTAGATCGATTACATTGACCGATAACGATGACATGATAAAGCGCTTCGGGCTAGGACTTACTTGCAATTAAGTTTCATAGTGCTTATTATGTTAACACGGTCAACGATAACTCGGTTAATTGATTATAAATTAGAACGAATTAGCGTTATAATAAAATATTTAGGCCAAATATATATGATACTCAGAGAATAAAATA